CTTTTCCGTTAATTGGTTTTTTTAAATAATATATAAGTTCAGAATGCAAATATGGAAATTAATCTTTTATTTACCATGTAACTTGGGAAAACTTAAAAATGAGGATGAGATTAAAAAAAGATTTTTTTTTAAATAAACATAGTTCAAACTAGGGAAATTAATCATTTTTTTTCCAAATAATGTAACTTTGCGTTTCAACTCAAACCCGCTCTTTTGAATCAGAAAGTAATTTTGGGAAAATTAAAAATGAGGATGAGATTATGTAATGAATTTTTTTTGAATAAACATAATTCAAAATACAGTGATTACCAGAAAACTCTAAAATAGAAAGACGACTTTATTGCAAAACTTAAGTGTATTTGATTTTTTTACAAAGCAAATAGAATAGTATAGTTCATTATTAAATCACTAATTCATAATTAAGGAAAATTCGCAATCTAGTTTTCTAGTTATCACTTATCACTTCAGGGAATTAAAAAAAAATCCCAAAAATGTAACAAAGCGTATCAAGTCAAGAGGTTAAATGAGAAAGGCTAATTGAGATATACTGAGAATTTTGGACAGGTAATAACAAATTCAGGCAAAGCAGAATACCTCTTTCAATAAAAATAGTTTGATGAAAACATGACAAGCCCTTTAGTTCTTGTAATTCTTTATCTTTCCTTCATTCTATTAAATTTCTGGCCTCTTGCTCTTTAGCAAGGTTGTATATAATGTTAGATACTCTAGATGTGCTCCAATGCAGGTATATGTCGTCTTTATTGCAATGGAGACTCTAAAACCTCATATGATGTCACTTAGACCTACCTAACAATCATCGTATTTAAGAAATATTGATTGTGTTAACAAGTTTGAAGCTAACAAATGTTATTTCAATTAAAGTTTTAAAATTTTGAGTCTGTTTATATTTAGTGAGCCACAAAATGTATTATTCCTAAAACTAAGCAGTGCCGTCATATGGGATTTGAAGGTCGCCTTTACCTACATTGGAGTATATCCAGTGTTTCTAACCTCTTACCCATAGATACCTTACTCTTTACTCTGATCTGGGTCTATTTTTTCATCTTTCTAGAATTGGAATATTATGAACAAAGGAACCTTTAGAGGATATTGGAATATTATCATCAAAGTAACCTTTAAAATAATTCTATTACAGTAAAAATTTCATTTTTGAAAGAATCGTTGATTTGGCTTCTTTTTTATTGGATTAAACTGTCGAAATTTTCGTTAAAATAGGTTCTTAGTTGTTATGTTTTAATCTCTAAAACTCTCAAGCAATTTTTAAACAATTTATTATTTTTAAATTTCAAATCTTATAAATTGGATACAGAAAAATTCTGATTTGATTCTTCTTCTTGTCATCGTTTCTCTCATCCTTACTTTTTTCTTTTCCTTCTGTTGACTGTCCCTGATTCTGATAATTTTGAAAGAAAATAAAAATTTGTTGAAATCAATATTTATTGGGACACTCGTCTCAATTTTAGTTGTAGTTTTCAGTGTTATTGGCTATCTAAGACTGCCTGACTCAACCAACTGATTGAAGGTTAATGCAGAGCTGATTCAGCTTCAAACCACATATTCCTGATATATTTTCTGCTTTGGGTGAAACAAAGGTGAAATGGAGGGGGGGGGGGGGGATGTCTCTCAGCACTTTCTCAATTGTTGTCTCCATTTGTCAACAGGAAAAATTGATGGTGCAGAGCTTATCATTGGAGAGTTCTCTACCATTTTTTGTGCTCAATTTTCTTTTTTCTTCTTGTTTTTGTTTGTAGGTTTCTGCAATTTTATATTGAGATTCATGTTCAAATCCTGGTTACACATAGTGGTCTTAAAAGCGGAGCTTACTAAGAAATAAATTCCAAATGCTGTTTGTGACATGAAGAAACCCTACTTTTCTCCTGGATTTATACTCTTTCCGAGTTCTGCAGCATTTAGGTTACCCATTGGAGTTGCACCTCAATTACATAAATGGGGAGTTGCCGCTATTGTACTTTATAATACGGCCTTGTCTACAGCAATCTTTTCCTTGCAGCCGGGAGAGCATACAGGGATATGCACATCCGCAAGAAACTAGGAGAGAGTTGTATAAGAACCTGACTGTGCTGAAGCTCCGAGGCAACTGAAAACTCTTAAGCTATAATATGGCATTACAAGCTTGCCGGCTTAAGAATGTATCTAATATTTCTTAAAGGAATTGAGCTTTTGCCACAAACTCAAGTTTTCTAATCCCTAAATCTTTGCAAACTGATGATGTTAAGCTTTGATATTTCAAGCTTTGATGAATTAATCTAACATAAATCATAGTTTAAAATTTCAAAGATCTATGACAGTGGATTGCAAAGGTTTAGAGATTTGATAATCTGTGATGGTGACAAGAACTAATTCACACAAAAACTAGATTTGAAAACTAAATTTTTAGCAACGTATGACCTGACGCACAGTGAAAAGGTTGCAAGCTCCCTTGCAAAAATTACCGCATAAAAAGTAAATTTATATGAAGGAAATGCTCTAGAGTATAAAAACGTTTTTAACTCTTTTTTTCTTATATACGCAACAGATAAAAATGAAGTTAGTAGCGATCGTTATTATATTCGATATTCGATATCAGCCGTTAAACTTCTTTTTTTTCGCGAAAACTCCCTTTAATTTTATTTCCTCTCACATAATGACGATGAAATTCTTTAAATTTTAAACTAATCATGTTTCCATGTTGCAACGTTCTTTTTATTATTAATCTTTATACTCAACATAAATGAATACATTGTTAAAAGATAACATTCTATAACTCTATAATTACAAAATAAAGTAGCTTAATCTCAAATATATAACATACACAATTCCCAATGGTTTCCACTGTCCAATTAGATATGAGTAGTGAGGGACTTTAGCCGCATTCTTAAAGGGACTGTAAAGGAAAAATGAAAGGGGGTATGTAGGCTGAAAGCTAATCACTTTAGCTCTCGATCGTGGCCCATAAAAGTTATATCTGATGTTCCTATCTAGAGAAATTGATATACAACTGTGTCAAATTTATACGAAAATTAATATATATACAATTTTGTATAAAAGTAGTGGGTTTAAATAGATCAAATTCATCAAATAAGCAACCAATCTGAAAAAAGACACTCAACTCTATCAGAGGCTGCAGGCAATATACCAATATTTGTGTTTACTCTATAGAGACACTATTATACTCTATGAGAGCCTTGTGTTTACTCTATAAAGACACTATACTCTATGAGACTTTGCAGGCAATATACCAATATTTGTGTTTTCTCTATAGAGACCCTATACTCTATTTACATCTATAGATGAGACCCTGCAGGCAATATACCAATATTTGTGTTAACTCTATAAAGACACTATACTCTATGAGAGCCTGCAGACAATAAACTGATATTTGTGTTAACTCTATAAAGACACTATACTCTATGAGAGTCTGTAGGCAATATACTAATATTTGTGTTTACTCTATACAGACACTATTATACTCTATGAGAGCCTGCAGGCAATATACCAATATTTGTGTTTACTCTATAGAGACACAATACTCTATGAGAGCCTGCAGGCAATATACCAATATTTGTGTTTACTCTATAAAGACACAATACTCTATGAGAGCCTGCAGGCAATATACCCTATAGAGATACTATTATACTCTATGAGAGCCTGCAGGCAATATACCAATATTTGTGTTTACTCTACAAAGACACTATACTCTATGAGAGCCTGCAGGCAATATACCAATATTTGTGTTTACCCTATAGAGACACTATTATACTCTATGAGAGCCTTGTGTTTACTCTATAAAGATACTATACTCTATGGGAGCCTGCAGGCAATATACCAATATTTGTGTTCACTCTATGGTGACACTATACTCGTATGAGAGCCTACAGGCAATATACCAATATTTGTGTTTACTCTATAAAAACACTATACTCGTAAGAGAGCCTACAGGCAATATACCAATATTTGTGTTTACTCTATAAAGACACAATACTCTATGAGAGTCTACAGGCAATATACCAATATTTGTGTTTACTCTAAAAATACACAATACTCTATGAGAGCCTACAGGCAATATACTAATATTTGTGTTTACTCTATAAAGACACTATACTCTATGAGAGCCTACAGGCAATATACTAATATTTGTGTTTACTCTATAAAGACACTATACTCTATGAGAGCGTGCAGGCAATATACCAATATTTGTGTTTGCTCTATAAAGACACTATACTCTATGAGAGCCTGCAGGCAATATACCAGTATTTGTGTTTACCCTATAGAGATACTATTATACTCTATGAGAGCCTGCAGGCAATATACCAATATTTGTTATGGGATTTTTATTTAAGATTATATAAGAGATTTTTCACAAAAAAATGTATAAATTTTTTAATTTTACTCCGCCACCAAACCGGCAAACACTGATCCTAGTCTTGAATTTTGTTCTCACATTTTTTATGCCTTTTTATCCGATGAAAACAATAATTTTGAAAATGTTGTCCAAAACATAGATAATCCCTGATTGTTTATACCCACCCTGTATATAAAGAGAAAATAGTGAATTGTTGAATTGTTGAATAATAGACCAACAGCCTTGTGTTTGTTTAAATTGTCCATTTAATTAAAAATATTTCTCATTTTCTCTTTATACAATGATAACCAGAAAACTCTGGAATAGGAAGACGACTTTTAGAATCAAGTTATAAAAATTATGATGACGAGCTTTATACACCGCAATTGTGCAGTTTAAACAGATCTATTTCACTTAGTTAGTGATTTAATAAGTGTTAGTAAAACTATTTACTTTGTAACAACATTAAATACTCTAAAGTATTGATATAATAAAGTTCTCCTATTCCAGTATTTTCTGGTTATCACTTTATTTTTCTTGTCCGCAGATGCGTTTTCAATGAACAAATATTGCAACACAACTCTGTAAATTTAAAGATTGTTGAATAATTGACCAAAACGCGCTTGAGTTCAGTCCGGGAAAAAAATTAATTTTGCATGTTTTTACCTTGTTAAGGTTGAACCCATGCCTATGTTTTTACCTTGTTAAGGTGGAACCTATGCCTATGTTTTTACCTTGTTAAGGTGGAACCTATGCCTATGATTTTACCTTGTTAAGGTGGAACCTATGCCTATGATTTCCCATCAATGATTGGAGTCTCCCTTCATTCAGCAGATGCCATCATTATTGTCTTCTCTGTTGATGAAATAGAGTCATTTGAAGAGGCAAGACGACTCAGGTCATTTTTGGAATTATTAATAAATTAATCATTTTTTAAACGTAAAAAATTCTTACTTTTAACTAATATAATGCATGTTTATTTATAATTTTTCAAAGACTCAAAAGTAAAACAAGTTTGTGATCATAAGTTTAAAGTGAACGATGCTAATGAAAACCAAGTTAATACGAATGATAAAGAAGTTAATGATAATAATGATGTAAAATTCAATGACAATAATGATGATTCTAGGGATCTGGTGATGAGCACCAAAGGTCCTGATTCTCCCATTGTAATTGTTGGAAACAAGACGGATCTTGACAGAAAAATATCAAAGGTAAAATAACTTTTTTACGACACCGGGATTCAAGAAAACTCTTTAATAATCTAAATATCTAAATCTGGAAAATCTGTGGTATTTGAAAGAAAGATCATATGTACTAGAAAGAGGGGCGTGAAGCGTCCAGGAAGCTAAATTTATCTTAAAGCAATGATTCTGAAGAAAAGAAAATCTGGATCAAAATTAAAAACACTTAAATAGTTTCTTAGAATTGCAATTTTTTAATAAATTGAGAAAATGTTTCAATTAATTTTCTGTGACAGATTAAAAGAAAAGATAATAAATTGTTGGGGGGGGGGGGGCGGAGGGGGATTCTAATTTGCAAAATCCTTTCATCGTTTCTGTTTTTACAAAAACAAGGGCACCTTGTTTTAAATTAAAAACAAGCCATTGGAAACTATTTTGTAAAGAGATTGACAAATATACTGTCTTTGAAATATTGTGTGACATTTTTTGTGTGTGGGGGGGGGGTTAAAAATGGTTTTATATTGGTAATGGTTAAAAGTAACAAAAAATAACATATCTGTTTTTGAAATGAGCTGAAATATGAATTGCTTAAACTTATTTTTTAATTAAAATTTAAAAGTTTAATTAAAAATATCGGTTCTGAAACAACAGCAAACAGAACATTTTATTGATACAGATTTTACGGGAAAAAAGGCTCCTATACTTTTTTTTGGACAAAAAGGTGTCCATAACAATTTCAACAATGTATTCTGAATGCTAAACAAGAAGTTAATTAAGAACAGTACGTATTCTATGCAAACTTAAAAAGTTAGTTAAAACTCAACAAAGTACCGTATATTGAGACTAAGAGTTTTTTTAAGAAAAAATAAATTTATAAAGGCACTAATCAGAGAGGCAAAACATATTTACAAAACACATCTGTTATAGGTTGAAATTATAAAATAATTGAGTTATTTAGTTCACGTGGATTTGGTATTAATAAAAGAAACTGAATTTTAAGTCCTGCCTGCAAGTTTGGCAGTTTCAAAATGATTCGAGATGTAGAAATGTTTTGATGGGATTTTATTCTTTTTTATCGTTTTTCCCAAGAAATATTTTTAAAAAATTGGATTACGTCTTTTTTTAAATTCTAGAAATAGTTAAGTTCCCTGGGGTTTGTAGTTATATTTAACTACAGGGCTACCCACAAAAAGACGACTAAAAATTTTAAATTAAAACCTGCATATATGTTTCAATTTTCTGTCTTTGACAATTTTTCCATGGCATATTAAACTATTTGGCAAAGAAACAAGCTATTTAGTTTAAATTAAAATCTATACAATAACGCTCTTCACTCATTTGATACAGCTGGCAAACGGCTGGACCAAATTGGCTGACATTTTTTATTGAACCCATCACGGGTACCTCGGGGGTGAAATAGGCAAAAAAAGATTTTTTTTAATCAATGGGCAACGGCGGGCACTTTGCAGCTAACATCGAAGAACGAAAACAGATTTCTTACAGTAGTCTCCTGAGTCTCATGCTTTGTGGTTACCCCTGTAGTTTACCAATATACAAGCGGATTATGGAAATGCCATTACTGTCAATCGAAAGGATATACTTGAAGATGGAATAAATAAGTAGCTGTGAGAAAAGAATTTTGTGGATTGGATTCAAGATGCATTTTTTATAAACATATTCAATAATGTCAGCTTAGATGTAAAAAGAAAATGGAAATCTTCATTGGAGCTTTTTAGCCTTTATAGGGACTGTCGTTGTTATTACAGGGGATATTAGCTACAAAACTAACACTTGGCCCATTTCTAACACTGAGTGTTAGAAAGACTTGGCTTTTGAATCCCAGCCTATATCCAGAGTAAAAGTCGATAATAAAAACTATAACCAACATTTTATGAAACATGACGATGGCAACAATTCCCAAATTTACACTTTTTAAAAAATCAAAATTACAATAGGAGTTCTTTTTATATTAAATCTCTTGACCGTTCTCAAGACAATGTCAAGTTTTACATTTTTAAACATATCCTGAATTTGAAACATTGTCGCGTTTTCGAGACAAAACCCACTTTCCCGTTTTTGAAACAAAATTTAGATTCATAATTTACTAAATAAATCACTGAAAACAAAACTTATTTTTTGAACATTAAATTAACTTCTAAATTATTTCTAGAATCTAAGTTTCCACACTTATCTGTTAAATAAGATGATTTATTTTCAAGCATTTGAAACAAACATGGTTTCCTGCATTTCTAGTTAAATTGTAAGAACAAATGGTATTAATATTTTGATTTCTTAATGCTGTAATGATTTTTAAATTATAAAAGAACAGTTTGTTTTTATTTTCTATTTTGTTTATACTTAACTTTATTAAAAATCTTGTTTTGTAACGTAAGTGCGTAAATGCTTAACAATTGACATTGATATGAATTCCAGTAATTGTCTCAAAACCAGGATATGTTCCGAAAACGCGACATGAGCTGAAATCCGGTAATTGTTTCAAAATATGGATATGTTCGAAAATGAAATTAAGAATCATCTAAAACTAAATCTCACACCTTATTATTAGTTTAAACTTGACATGTATTGTGTAACTGTTATAGTTTTAGAAATTTTTTATAAATATATTGTGTAATTTTGTTCTACTCGTCTTGAATTCAAAGATAATACTCTTGAAAAAGATGCCTTAGGATGTTTGGCCCATTTCTAACACCCAGTGTTAGAAATGGACCAAGTGTTAGTTTTTGAACTAATATCCCCTGTAATGTAAAGTGACGCTTCAAGTAAATTCATGTTCTTATTTAAAAATTGTTAAGAACCACATTAACGTACGTTTTACAGGAAACCCGTATGAACTATTTTTATAACTAATTTTATTATTATCCCCATGACTAACAATAATATATTTTAAATTTAACATTTAAGGTTTAAGTAAATATATTACAAAATATTTTCACAAACAAATTTTTTGTAAGAAAAGGATAAAAAATCATGAGAAATTAAATGCATTGCATGCAGTAGGGCTTATGTTCGGGAAAAAACAAGCTTTATTTTTCTTAGTATAAGTTATAAAAAATAGAGCATTAGAGTGAGTGTTCGCGAAAAATTAAAAGGGGTGTAGGCTTACGGCGAAAAATATTCGATTTTGATTGCTACTAATCTTATTTAAAATTGTTAAAAACTATTTATACTGAAGAACCCTGCGTCCATTCAAATTACAAATTGCAATAAACGACGCGGATCGTCAAAAAATCAATTTAATTTCTAACAAATCATTGAGATATTACAACCTATAGTCATCGATAATTTGTCGACGTATTCTTATCATATTTTACAATATTTTTTATTCGTTTTGTATGCAATGCAATTAAAACGTCACCTGGTGTCTCTGTTCTCGATGCTTTGAATGATTACACGTGGCAGAAACGCGTAGCGGAAAAAAAGTCGTTATAAAAGCGTTGTATATAAAACAAATAAAAAATATTATGAAGAGCATTGTATATAAAACAAATAAAAAATATTATGAAATATTAAATATATACGAATGCGTCGAAAAATAATCAATGACTATACATTGTAATATCTGAATGAATTGTTTGAAATTAGATTAATTTTTTTACGATACGAGTCGTATAGTGCAACTTTCAAAATGTGTATGGACGCTACTTTCTTCAGTATAAGTCTGATATAATGTCCAAGTAGAGCTTGAAAAATGTTTCTGGTTTGATTTGAAGTGTTGAGATTTTAATATTAACAAAGTGATGAGTTTTCCTTCCTTCCTCACCATTTTGGTTTACAGTAAATTAAAACTTTCGCAAACTGAAGGTGGCGGAAAAATGAAATACATTTTTCAACAGAAATATTACGTTTATTTGGCCAAATTTATTTTTGGTTATAAAATATTTTAAAAAACACTTTTTTGGGCTCAATTGTTATTTATAGCGTTGCCCATAGATACTCATAGTTACTCCCACCATTTACCCGCACTTGGCTGTAAATTACGATTTTAGTTTTTTTCCCCGAGTTACCCAATCCTAGCTTGAGGCAAATCTGGCCATGGGTTCCTGAGTTATGATCGAACAAACAGAGATTACACATTTACACATTTAGATTCGGTACCCCATTTTTTAACACTTTTTGTATCTTTTAAAAAACAGAAAACAATGAAGAAAAAAACCTTAAAATAAAGTATTTAAAAATATTTAAAAATATAAAATACTCCCAAAATTGATTCTTGGATATCTATTTTCTAAGTTATTCTATAAAACTATTCAACCTTTCCCTTAAAGCTATGCAATATTGGGAAAAATTTGCATGAGTAAACATTCGGCAAATATGCAAATATCTTTTATCTCTTATCATAATTTTGCTAACAATTTAAACTTACTGAAATCATAAAATAAAATAAAACTTCGTGATTTTCGAGAAAACTTATTTTATGAAACTATTGTCTACTTCATCAATTATTACTTACATAACCGTGCATTTCATAATGAACGTGCCATGCTATAAATTAATCATCGTGCTATAAAGTTATATTAGCTGTACATTATAGCACGTGTGCTATTAAGTTTTGATTGGTTCCCGGATTTTCTTCAAACAATTTAGGATATTTCCAAAATAATTTTTTTCAATTGAAATGAAAATAAAATTAAAATCAACTTTATATTTTGACTTCTGCTTTGTTTCAAAGCTTATTTAATTTAAAAGAGCCATTGAAATAAGAAAAGTACACAAACGTTTCCTGAAATTACCTATACTTTATAACAAAAATAACAGTGTTATAAAAATAGTTAATTATTCTGCAACTCCGAGAAATCAAAATAAGTAATCTGTCTCTCTAATCATTTTATTGTATGATAATCATATTACAAGTTAATTCAATCCCCCTTTAAGAAAAAAGCGTTTATGTTAAAGGGACTGTAAGCGTAAAAGCTTTGTTCAACAAACGCTACTTTATCTTCAGTCAGTGTACTGCAGAATGCACCGAAAGCTTAGTAAAGGGTGATATCTTTGCAACCTGGTGTCGAAGACCTTTGATATTTCAAAATATGAATTCTGTTCATCTAATAACCTAAGTTTAAAGTATCAAAGGTTTTGCACTATCAAGTTGAAATTATAAAGAAAACTTAGTTCCTTTGAAAATATTTAAAACTTTCCAAATTTTCTCTGGATCCCTTCAGAGACATCTTTCATGTTTATAACAGAAGAAAAACACTGTAGAGGTACATAACATTTTTTCTTAGCTCAACTTTAAGATATCTTTATACCTTTGAAGCGCTGCCTAAAAATAGAATTAGATCTAAAAATAAACAAATCCATCATAGAAATCAGATTTTAAATCTTGTGGAATTGGCTGATTTGATAATATCCTAAATCATAAAACTCCCTATACTACTATTTAATTTTAAAAAATTTTTAAAAAAATATTATTCATCTAACGGTTTAGAAGAATCCAAATGTGAGTATGGCCCACGTAGAGAATTTTGGTGGTTGGAATTGGAAATTGTAAAAGTTAAGATTGGAATCAGTATGTCGGCTTGAAAGAAATAAGTTTAAGCTAAAAAAAATAGGCGCAAAGCGTCCGCTATTTTTAATCTCTTTAGTGAGACAAACTGTTTGAGCTTTTCATTACATATTATCGATAAACTATATTATTTTGATTNGGGGGTAAATGACAAGGTAAAAAATTAATTATTTTAGGTTTTCACATTTGTTCCAAAGCAAACACACTCGGTCTAAAACTTCTTATGTCAACATATGGATTAATTAAAAGTTTTAATTTTAGGAAATTTATCCTGGAGGCATCAAATTCACAAATAAAACGTTTCTGCGAAATTTTATAAAAATTTTATTGCAAATTTAGATGACGGTTTTAAAAAATTATGTATTTATTTAAAAATATTATATCTATATTTTGGATGTCAAAGCGGCTTAACGTATCAAGCTGCAGACCAAACGGAATTTAGTCTTCGCCACAAACCCAAACCTTCTTATCCTTATAACTTTAAAACATGGCTTTATAGATATTTCAAACTCAGATTACTTGATCTAACACAATTCATAGATTGAAAAATTAAGGTTCTATGAGGATGGGTTGCAAAGCTGTAGGGATTCGAAAAACACAGTTTGTGCAGGCAAAGACTCAATTCCTTTATTCAAAAAAGTCTTAATTTTTTTCGGAAATCCACAAATGAAAAGAGAAAAATCTGCGACATCAAATTTTTTTATAGTTTCATTATGGGCGAAGGGAAATTATTCACAGGTATCCAAAAATCACAAAAAAAAAATTAAAACGGAGTATTTGAATAGTGTGTAGCGTGCCTAAATATATTAGAAGTCTGAAATGTCAGCAGTACTATTCAGAATGCAACAAGTAATTTATTCACACTTTCCTGCCTTAATAGGGTTATTATAAATATCTTTAACAATATTTAGAACAAGAGAACTTTTATGTTTTTTTCAGATAAAAATCTAGAACCCAAACTACTCAATCTATTAAGAAATTGAGTCTTTGCCATACACTCAACTTTGCAACTTGATGGTTAAAAACCTTTCAAACTTAGTTTATCCGATCTAACAAAATTCTTAGTTTAAAATATCAAGGTCTACGACATTGGTTTACAAAGGTTTCAGGATCAGAAGATAAGATTTTCTGACAACGACTTAGTTTCTTTGAGGTAAATCAAGATTTTGAACTTATGTATTTTTAGCATGCGAACAAAGAATTGTAAGAAAGTAGTTAAGTCTCTTCTGCACAAGCTGTGAGGTTTAGATTGAATAATCAATTGTTAGAAATAATAAATGAGATTTAAAAAATTAAGTTTGTGGCAAAAACATGAAAAAGCTTCATAATTGATTATAACACCTAGATTGTGTATTATGTTTGGTTTTGACTAATAATGTATAATGAAATCAATTAAAGAAATATTGATTAAAATCTGACAAACCTAATTATAAAATTGTCAATTTCAGCAAACACAGAACAAATCAACACAAATATAAACTTTCTCTGACAAATACTTTTAAAAAGATTCCATGCTTGATCGGAGGCATAAGACCTCCNATTTGAGAGTTAGGATGGGTTAAGACAATTTCTTAACTGAGCGCTGCGGCCAGAACAAGATAGGGGGCTGAGCACAACGGCTAGGACAGATTTTTTAAACCCAACATTAAAAATTACAAACCCAAGATTTAACGTTTTATCGAGTAAAAACTGAGTTGTGCAAACTCAAACTAAAAAGATACCTCAGCAGCCCAAACAAAAAGTTTACAAACTAAAAACTGCTGTCCTCTAAAAGGAGTCTCCAAATGTAGCTGAATCCTTAAAATCCTTGATAAATATAATATAATTTATGAGAAGGAGGCTTTTCCAAAATTTTCTTGTTTTATCCATATATAGATTTGGCTTGTCTGTCTGTTTGGTTGTCTGTTTGTTTGTTTGTATCCAATAAACGTCAAAACGGCTGAAGCGATCGGGCCCAAATTTTTTTGTGGGACATCACGTGACCACAGGGCAGGTTTATAAATGATAAAAAATTTTAAAAAATGTGTTTTAAAGTTTTTTAATTTTGTAAAAAAAATTTAAATTCTTGAATATCCGTGAATTTTTTTTAAAAATCCGCAAAATTTTTTTCTCCTTTGTTTTAAAGTGTAAACAAAAAGAAGATTTTCACAATTTAAATAGAAGATGGACGCGAAGCGCCATAAAAGCCTAGTTCTTATATATTTCGGTTGTTTGTTGGTTTCTTTGATTGTATCAAATAAATGAAAATGTACTGTTTGACTGGGAGAACTGTTCAGTATACAATATTTAATATAAAATGTTTAGGAGGAAACCGAAGCTATTGTACTGTTTGACTGGGAGAACGGCTACGTGGAATGCAGTGCTAAACTAAACACAAACATACAGGAACAAAATTAAACAATCAATCAATCAATCAAGCAAGGACATAGATAACTAATATATGATAAAGGAATTGAATTTTTGCAACAAAATTTGATTTTACATTCACTATATTTTTGCAACCTGGGTGAAATATCAAAGGTCTAAGACATAGGGTTCCGAAAATGTAGGGATAAGAAAATCAGAATTTTTCTACAAAAACTTTGTCAGAATTGAGAACTTTGTGTTGTGGAACTCGGGATTAGGCCTTAATCTCTATCTTAACAGATTATTTTATTCTTTTTCTTTATTCCGTGGTGGTCATAACCATGATTGAGGGATAAGTATTTATTCTCTGATTTAGAAAAAGCTAACATTGGGTATTATAAGGTCAAGCGAAGAGAAAGAAGAAGTATAAAAGAAAAGATCATTGTAATCTGCAAAAAACCTCCCACAGCCCCCCTCCTCCCCCCCGTTTCTGATAAACATTTGTTTACAAGTCTAAAATTAAGTTATTGTTATTTCTTGTTAAAATAAATAATACTTTTATAAACCGAATCATGCATTTTCAATTACAATTCGACGAACCGTGCCTTCTTCATTTATAGAGAAACTTTGATTAAAACATTTAGATGAGAAAATCAATATATAATTTTCTAATCCTTAGATCTTTGCAATCTATAGAGAGAGGGTCATGCCAGGTTTATAAAGGAACCCTTAAAAGCTTTATTTAATCAGGATACATGAGATTTATGACATATCATCCCCTCTTAGAAAAGTTTACTATATTCAATTTTGATTTCTTTGTAACTATTGATCAGATAAAGATTTAAAGTGTTTCGTTGTGAATTGAACATGCCTATCCTTTTTTTGTGAATTTACGTTCACAGTACCATTAAGCATAAATCCTTTAATCCTAATCTGAAATGAAGATTGAGATAATTATTGAATTGCATGCTGTAGGACATCTTCAAGGAAGTGCTCAATCAATCAAAAACCAACATTTCAAGCATCAGGTATGTTTAGCAGGTCTTTATATACCTCTTTATGTACTTTAACTTGATAACAAGTTCAGCGCTATACTTGGTTAGTTTGGAAAGTCAAATAGGTCTATTATTACAGGCTGTGTACTGTACAAAGTCTAGCCACGTCATAAAGGTCGGTACAAGTCGTACATATGTAACGATATTGTTAACTATATTTATCAAAAATGCAAAATAAAAATTAAAGGATTATAACAGGGGCAAACCTAAGATTCTCAGGTTTCTGTGGGATATCGTCGTTTTCAGAGCTGAAAACTTTAGAATGAGATATCCTTAATCACAATCGATTAATCTGAGTATACTATGTACACACTTTTGATTTTCTTCTTAATCCTCTTTTTGGATATGACTATCGTATAAAAGTTACGCTTGATAACAATTACAGATACAATGCTATATCAATTGGACTAATATCCGATTGAGTTAAAGTCAACTCAGTTCATAAGCCGGCTTTTAGAGCATTTAAACAAATATATAAATTTAATCATGTTTATATGAAATTGTTAAAGAGCATATTTTAGGACTATTGCAATTTTGAACATCAGTCTTAATAAACATTAATCCAAAACTTACGTTCGTTCAATCGATGTTTAGTTCAATTGGTATGACACCATCAACACCAGAAATCAAAACCGGTTTTTCAAAAGTTTAAGAGTACATCTTAACATGACACGCTGATTGGTTAAATTTTTAGCTTCTTTCTTGGATATTGAATGCGTTTTAAAATAATCTTGGGTTTAGTAAAACCAGGATATCTTGATATCCACCATTCTAAAGTTTTTAGCTCAGATTGGTTCAATTTTTGTGGAATATGATCTGTTTCATACTACAGCTTTTATACGAAATTGCATATATTTGAATTTTCATATAAATTTGACACAGTTTTATATCAATTTCTCGAGACAGAAACATCAGATAGATGTCTTATATGTATCTTTCAACTCCTGAGATTCTCATATTTCATCCTATACCCCCTTTCATTTTTCCTTTACAGTCCCTTTAATTGATATGTAATGATTCAGTTCAGGGTTTACAGAAATGGATGAGACTTCAGAAACGAATGCAAAGCAATGTTCATCTAGCCATTTATCTTACATTTATGGTTCCCTGCGACCATAAACTTCTTTTTCTTGCTAAATCACGTTGTAAATCATTTAATTAGATACTTTCTTCATTACAGCAAAATTAAACCTTTAGATAACTTGTAATTCAGCATTAAAGTTTTATTTTATCCTTATAATTAGTAACCTTGTATGTGGTTTAGAATAATCTAAGTTAAATTTTTAAAACAAAAAAGTTTTCTTTTTATGATATTTACCTGAAAGTTACAAATTTACTATTTTCTGAACTTTTTCAGCAGTAATGGTAACCATTTGAGTAATGGCAGCAGTGGTTCTGGGTCTCCTTTACACATGCGAAGACGACAATCCCTGCCTCATGTAAGTAAAACAATGCACATTGGTATTTTCTTAGGTATTTTAGTCTCATGATCCGATTCTTTACAAGTATTTACTAGTACAGACAGGCAGGTCCTTTTATTGTACCGTCTACACATGATAATTGACCTGAGGGATGCTTATAACTACTCAGGACACTATTACTCCACTGGAGGGATGAAGAGAACCACTCTGGAGTAATTTATGCCCAGGGTGATTTGCAGCCTCCCTCCAGTGGAGTAATTTGTGTCCTGAGTGGTTATCAGCATCCCTCCGCGATGCAGTAATTATTGCCCATGTTGATTTGCAGCATCTCTCCTGTGGGGTAACTTGTGTCCTGAGTGGTTATCTGCATCCCTCTGGTGGAGTTATAGTGTCCTTAGTGGTCATGATCATCCCTCCGGTGAAGTAATAACTGCCCAGGGAGATTTGCAGCATCCCTCCAGTGGAATAATTTGTGTCCTGAGTGGTTATCGACATTCCTCCCATGGAGTAATTAGTGTTTAGTGTGATTTTTAGTATCCCTCCAGTGGAGTAATTAGTGTTTTGAGTGATTATCAGCATCCATCAGGTGTAGTAATTATGGCGCGCGCCCAAGATGATTTGCAGCGTTCCTTAAGTGGATTAATTAGTGTGCTGAGTGTTAATTACCATCCCACTAGTGGAATATGTATTACCTCCAGCAGCCCCCCGTCCACCAGAGGAAATGAAAAATGCTATTATTATTTTTACAGAAATCCAATTTTGACAAGATTTTAAAATCTGGCATGTCAGGCCTATCAAAAACCACTTGGTATCCAAACAATACACATTTAATCTTGATCATCATTTATTGATTTAAGATATTTGAGAGCATGCAATTTTTGTTACAGCAATACAGATTTAGAGTTTTCTGTAATATTTAACCCAATTTTAATAAGTCGTTGTTGCAGGCTCTTCACCCCGTACTCTTGAAACATTTCAAACTAATAAAAATTGAAATTAGAGATGGAAATAATACACTTTTTTAACAATTTTAAAAGAAAAAAATTTCCCCCGTATATAATTTAAATGGTTTTCGATTGTAAATTAAATTACTAAAACTATTATTCAACTCTCGCGCGAAAGATGAAAATGCCGCAAAGCAGAACATTAATCAGCTGATTTCTAGGTTCCTGGCTACACAAGAGCTAAGTTACAAGCTGAAAAATCTCTACCCAGACAAATCCTCAAGAAAAACAAGGGATAAAGTCAACATTAGAAAATTAGATTTTCTAATATCTTTAATCCTTTCTTGTAAAAAAAACTTTTAAGAATATTCAAACAAAAAGAAAATTTTAAACTAAATTTTTTAACAATTTTAAACATAATTGGCATGTCAATTCTTTGTTAAATGAGTTCAATATAATTTGAGGATAATTAGTTTTGACTTATTTGACTTTATCATCAGGAAGCTAAGAGAAAAAACGCTTGTAAAGTATCATAAAGATTAATCATTCTTTAAAAATGTCTCCAGGTTGTATAACAAAAAAAATTGTGCTTAACATAAGTACCAAGGGCGTATACAGAAGGGGTGGCAAGGGGAATTGCCCCGCCAGACCTGTGATGGGGGGACGTAGCCACCCCTAGAACTAAGAGCTTTCACACTTTTCAAATCTTACACTCAAGAGTGAAGAACATAAAAAAATAGTTTACTGTTCATTCAATGCACTAAGATTGTATACGTGGACTAAGGCCACTATGACAGAAGTCCGAATGAAAAATCCATTTAGAATACACATTCATCCTAATGGGCGCTATCAGGGATAGCGATTAGCAAAGTAAAACAACTATTTTTTAATGCCAAGCCACGAAGGCTTGAGTTTAGAGGTAGTAAAAGACCATTTTTTTAATTTGGATTTATTTACTTTATTCATTGCACCGCCGTTTTTTAATCTTTATTTTTATTACAAACTAGTGGAAGTGCCAGGCGTTGCCCGAGGATTTAAAAAAATCGAATTTAACAATATTGATTACAATTGTACTCCTACTTTATTTTCATAACAGAAATTTTTTTTTCATTTTTAAAAATGTCTTTTTCTATCTCTAGTTTAAATAATAATTGTTACTAACATAACAGTATAATAAGATGTCGATTTTTTGTAGATACAATGCTTTTTTCTGCCAGTTTTGTTTGAAGGACAGATAAAGTATAGTAGCAAGATAATTGTACTGTATGTGTACCTTTAAAGTATCTTCTACTTATGCCTGATATCCAAGAAGCCAAATGGGTGCGCCAAATGTTATCAATTTACAGTTCAAATTTTGCCCCCCCCCCTTGATTTATTTCTGTATACGCCCTTGAATTCAGTGGAACTGTTGTACAACCTAAATTCTACACACAAGTTTATGTACCGTAAAATGTGTACTTAAAATTCTAGTTCCTGATCATATTTCTGAAATAATTCATCAGTTCATGTACACTGTACAGTGTACAGTACACGACAGTACTTCCACATCAATGTACATATATATTCTGTAAAAAAAAATTTAAATGGCAGTTTATCCATTCTATCATTTAACCAGATCCTATCTTTGGTTGAATAAATACTGCTAAAAATATCTTCATATGATAGTTAATTCACCTTTTTTAGCATATTAAACGCAACATAAAGTTTAGGAACCATTTTTATCATTATTATGAAATTGATCATTACTTTCTGTTTCGTTCAGAGATGTTCTTTAAACTTTTTTTAATCTTTATAAAACGTTTTAACATACATGGTGTCCCAATACAAAATTGAGAGACGACATGAAAGTGGTCTTCGATATACGATATGTAAGGCATGGCAAAGTAAGTATAAAAACGAGGCTGTACGTATTACGAGCTTTTCATAAAGTGGTCTACCTATCTACCTATCTACCTATCTACCTATCTACCTATCTACCTATCTACCTATCTACCTATCTACCTATCTACCTATCTACCTATCTTGTGTCTTTAAAATTGACGAAAATATGTGAAATTAATAACAATTTTATTTATTAAATAAATTGGTAGAATTCTGAAGACACAAAATGGTTGACAACATTTTGAAAATCTCAAAACCAGGCGTTCGAGATAAGATAATTAAACTGGAATACTGCATTTATTGTGTTCATGAAAAATGCCACATGGATCGAAGACGATATAAAAGTTGTCAGTCAGTTCCCATGTTTATTGGGACACCCTGTAGGATATCAAAACCTTGTCACAAACTGTATTTTTATTTTATTCTATATACAGAAATGTACATAGTAACAATGTATCTGTACTGAAGTATTTCTTTGTAATTCCAAACTAAAATGTAATAAACATTGTTTGATTTGTTTTGATCAGAAAAATAAAGTTTAAAAACTTATTCACTGTTTTTAACCAATAAATAAGATAAAATCAACGTTTTGCAATTAAAAAGTAATTTCACGGCACGGAAATTCAATTGAATCTGGACAAATTTACAAATTTTTATTGTTTTCAAATTTAAAACTTTTTTCGTTTTTCTTTGCCAAGAGTGACGAATTCGGATTTTCTAATTCGTATATCTTAGATACTTGATGGTGTAAATCCGTATATCTTAGCTACTTGATGGTGTAAATCCTCATATCTTAGCTACTTGATGGTGTAAATCCTTATATCTTAGCTACTTGATGGTGTAAATCCGTATATCTTAGATACTTGATGGTGTAAATCCTTATATCTTAGCTACTTGATGGTGTAAATCCTTATATCTTAGCTACTTGATGGTGTAAATCCGTATATCTTAGATACTTGATGGTGTAAATCCTTAGATCTTAGCTACTTGATGGTTTAAATCCGTATATCTTAGATACTTGATGGTGTAAATCCGTATATTTTAGCTACTTGATGCTGTAAATCCGTATATCTTAGATATTTGATGGTGTAAATCCTTATATCTTAGCTACTTGATGGTGTAAATCCTGTTATCTTAGCTACTTGATGGTGTAAATCCGTATATCTTAGATACTTTATGGTGTAGAACCTTATATCTTAGCTACTTGATGGTGTAAATCCTTATATCTTAGATACTTGATGGTGTAAATCCTTGTATCTTAGATACTTGATGGTGTAAATAATTATATCTTAGATACTTGATGGTGTAAATCCTTAAATCTTAGATACTTGATGGTGTAAATCCTTGTATCTTAGCTACTTGATGGTGTAAATCCTTATTTCTTAGCTACTTGATGGTGTAAATCCTTATATCTTAGCTACTTGATGTTGTAAATCCATATATCTTAGCTACTTGATGGTGTAAATCCTTATATCCTAGCTACTTGATGGTTTAAATCCGTATATCTTAGATACTTGATGGTGTAGAACCTTATATCTTAGCTACTTGATAGTGTAAATCCGTATATCTTAGCTACTTGATGGTGTAGAACCTTATATCTTAGCTACTTGATGGTGTAAATCCTTATATCTTAGCTACTTGATGGTTTAAATCCGTATATCTTAGATACTTGATGGTGTAAATCCTTATATCTTAGATACTAGATGGTTTCAATCCTTTTATCTTAGCTACTTGATAGCTACTTGATGGTTTAAATACGTATATCTTAGCTACTTGATGGAGTAAATCTTTATATCTTAGCTATTTGATGGTGTAAATCCTTATATCTTAGATACTTGATGGTATAAAGTCTTATATCTTAGCTACTTGATGGTGTAAATCCTTATATCTTAGCTACTTGATGGTGTAAATCCTTATATCTTAGATATTTGATGGTGTAAATCCTTATATCTTAGATACTTGATGGTGTAAATCCTTTTGACAACTAAAAAAACTTTCAAGAAGTAAACATAAATGTAATCAAAATTAATCGGTTCTAAATTACCCTGAGCTGAAAACTTTAGAATTGGATACCCTTAATCTTAATTACTTAATCTAATATCCACTGTGGATACTTTCAATTTATTGTTTTTCTTCTCTTTTGGATTTCCTTTCTGGATTCCAACCAATCATAGTTCTCTCATTAAATTGCGCGGACAAGATTAAGTAAATAGCAAGAAGTAGCTGAACCCCGCCAGTTCAAGCAGAAGCAGAACAACGTAAACGCGGTTAAACCAATTCTCGATATTTATTAAATCTGAGCTGGGAACTTTTGAATGGATAACCTTTAATCCCAACTAATTAATCCGAATATCCACTGTGGAAACTTTTAATTTTAGTCCTTAATCCACTCTTTTTCTCTCTCTTTGGATATCCGTACACTATTTTCTCCAATGAGAGTGCAGAAATATAGGTCAATAATTGTATTGACCAATGACAGCCTTGAAAATAAATTCTATCCCATGAGAGAAATCCGCAATTTCTAACAAATAAAGAATATGTTGTCAGCCATTTTTAAAATTAGTCGGTGAAGAAAAGCATTTAATAATGCGTTTAAGATTCTTTTGTAACCAATTTATGGATGAGAAATTAAGTTAAGGCCCTTCCAGTCAGGAAAACGAACCAATCTGGCGTTCTTATAATCCAATTTGTTGATCTAAATATTTAATCTCAAGACTAATATAATCTCGGGATTATGGTAGTCTCGAGATTAGCAAAAACAGAGGATGAAGCATTAATCCTGATATCCACCATTCTTAAGTTCCCAGCTAAATTATAATTTAAATAAGGAACAATGAAATAATGAATTGTTAGCAGTTTTCTTTATTTCCCGACAGGTTTAGAATTACAAATCTTAATTTAAATTTTTTACTAGGTTCATGATTTTGATGATTCTTTTATATATATGTATTCAATTTGAAAACTTCAAAATAAATTTCAATAAATATATCCTATTCTAAATAAAAAAAAAATTCTTTCTGTATTAAAATAAAAATCATGGAGGGTAAATTTTCCTATAGTGGAGTGGAGAAGCTTGACAAAGGAACACTCTTTAATCATAGAGCATAGAATATATAGAGAGGAATTTACTGTAAAAAAGTGTAAACGGCCATTTTGTTGTACTGTTTCCATACTGTAGGTGTACTTCACATATTTATGCTATATAACCTGTTGGGCCCTGGAATATCATTATATAGAAAATCTAAAATTATTGTTAAAAGAAAACCAAATTATGAAATAGGCTGGTTTCATAATTGACCAATGATCATTTCACATAGACTCTATGCCTTCCACTTTACAAACGATGATTTTCCGTTATAACTATAAATCAAATGATGTTTTTTTCAACTAATTCATTATAAAGTTTATTTAACAGTTCAAAAAAATTCGAAATTGAAATGAATAGTCTAGGGAACATACTGTATTAATGTACTCTACTGCATAGAATTTGTGAACATTTACATGATTTGTACACTTTGAACTCCCTTTCAGGCTGAAAGGGACTGAAAAAATTGATACCGAGAGATTCTTTTAATTCCTCTCTATATATTCAATTCGCTTTGTCTTTATTACAGTTTTAGTTTTCTATGGTGCGACTGCGAGAGGGAAAGGCAGGTTGGTCATGAGCCACACTAATTTTCACTTTCATGCCGCAATCGAATATATTAGCGTACGCATATTATACGGCAGGACCACAAATCCGAATTTTAATAAGAAGCTTATAAATGTTTAAATTGTATTATAAAAAATTGGAATTTTGTCCAGGGGCGTACTAGGGGAAGGGGGGGGACACTGTGTACCCCTTAAATATGCCCCCCCCCCCCCAACTAGGCCTAATATATAAAATTTATATTTAAACTTATTTTTTATCAATTGACAATTTGTCTATTTTATTATAATCCTTTAAATTCTCTTTTAAACCTTATAAATCTTATTTCGTGGGGTTTCATTTAAAATCCGGCCATATCAGTGCTTAGAGAAAGTATTTTTTAAATAGGCGTGCATGCATACCACTACTGGGCCTTTTTGTTGGTTTAGGGAATAAACCGGGGAACATTTTATCCACCATGTTTTGGGAAATCTTTTGATCCCAATATACTATGAAGCCCCACAAAGAATAGATTTGGATGCATGTCTAAAAAGCTTTAATAGCTCGATGAAAGGTTTAAGTTTGAAATATCAAAGGTTTCCACCATTAGAACTGCAGGACCTCTTTTATTATTGTGGATTAAATCTTTTGTTAATCGGCATATTCACCTATTCTTCATTCAATATGACTTAGTGCATTGTACCTTTAATGTATCCTTTCTCTTCTAAAGGAATCATCACACTAATTATCACCCCGGACTAACTGCAGAGTTAGAGGCATTCTGTTTCTTCTATTTGAAATCATACGCGTTTTGATTTATATTTTAACAATCTTTAAACTTACGGATTTGTTTGTTTAATACTTTTTATTCAAAATGTATATGCCAGCAAAAAAGTATCTAAGAAAGAAGGCTTAAAAATTATGTTTAATAGGAGAAATTGTGATCGAAAGTCATAGCTTTCTGGAATATTGAAAGAACCGATAAATCCACTTGCAACAGTCTCCTCCTAGTCTAATCTTACATAAAATCCTATATTAATTGAAAAAAATCTATGTTTGGCTTATTTGTTTGCTTAAAATTAACGTCAAAACAGCTGAAAAGGTCGGGCTCTCATTTTTTGTAGCAATTCACATTAGGAGGGGTTTATGGATTTCTAAAGGTGAACAATTTTGCCGGGGATTTAATCTTTTTAAGAAACTGCGCAAATTTAATCATAAGAATAATGTTGAGAAAACCTAGAATGTGTCAAATTCTACCATGAAAATCCGCCAAATATTATATTAAACCTCTGAGCTGAAAACTTTAGAATGGAATATCCTTAATCCCGATCGGTAATTAAATCTGGAGATTAATATTAAGAGGATAACAAGCATTATTTAATCTGGAGATTGCGAAAAAGAGTGGATCAAGCATTAATCCCGATATCCACCATTCAAAAGTTCCCAGCTCGGTTTTTTAAACTCAACTCTGTGGTAAGCTCAAGAGAGGACAATATTTTTAAGAAAATTTATTTCACTTGACTAACAAAAACAAGGAAAGGAACTGACTAACAAGTTACATAGATTCTATACAGTTTGTAGGGGTTAAGTTAGTTATGTACACTAAGTAATAATAATATAGATGAAGGTTATTAGTAAAATATCAGCCTATTTCTAATTTTGATGTTAACCTTTTTTACAAAGTTATCAATAATATTACGTATCATTATAATTTTTCAAAATTTAAATACAATAGTTTAATTTCTTAAATGATGTTACAACTGAAATGCATAAGAATTACTGAGTTGGCAGTTAAGATCTTGTTTTGAGAATATCGAGATCAAGACTTGATCTCAATCTTTTTTTAATCTACAGATTAATTTAATCTTTATTTGATATCCCGTAAGGATTCCAATGCATTACTGCAGTACAATTATTAAAAATTGTACAGTTAAGAATTGGAATAAAATTCTGCGTAAAATTCATAAGTGCCTACTGAAGATATCAAGATCAAGTGATCAGGATTATGGGTATTCAACACAAAGATAAAATGATCGACTATTTCTGCCAGCTCACTAAATCTTTATCAGTATTTAAAGGGAATGTTGAAAAAAACAGGATTGTCATAAATCACCCTGATTAAATAAATTTAAACGAAATGTAACTGGTCCGTTAACGTATCACTATAAGTAGTTAAATAAATAAATTTTATCATTAACATTCAACAAAGGGCGAAACTTCCTTAGTATTTCTTGGTGGATTTTTATGTATCCACACTCTACAGATATAAATTTGAATCCTTTTATTAAAGTTTTCACTTAGGAATCTAGTTCAGGCTCTGAATCAAAGCGGTCTCAATCAAAAGTTTCGTCCTCAGTTGATTTCAACACAACTTGAGGGTTCAAATAAAGATCTTTATGTTAACAAGCTATTTTTTATTTTGAAAGAATTTGTTGCCTCCAAATAATATACATTTTGCCATTAGTTTTCTGTGTTTCTTGCCATACAAAGTGTTTATTTTTGACGTTTTTTTTAATATTAATTTAAAAAAATATAAAAAAGATTAAAATGTATTTTTTTTGAGTAATCTTGATATTTTGGAGAAAAACAGGGAAAGAACATTGACATGAGCCAATCTAAAAAATGTTTTCTTTTAGAGGCTAAATTTTATTGTCCTAAAACCAAACTTAAATTGTGGAAACTGTAGTTATGTACTGTTTGAGCAAATTAAATGTAAACGAATTGCAAAGTGAACATGATTACATATAAATCTGAAATGCTGAGACTGGATGTCAATAACCGGGGCTTCTGTCTGTACTTTATAAGAGTTGACTGTAAGTGTAATTTCAAGATGATGGCGAGGATGGCATTGCGAGATTTAGAATGGTACCCTGCAACGCTTTGTCTGATCAAAGATGAATTAGATATCCAAGTTTATAATTTGAAAAAACTTGGACATTTTAAATTATAGTTTCTCTAAAAAAGTGACTTTCGAATTTCAACTGCAGGAAAGCAGAAAGGAATTATCGGAAGTAACAATTTTAAAACTAGAAAAACGGAAGTATTCCATATTAATGATCAGATGAAGGTTTCTAGGGTATCGTTGTAAATCATGCATTGTTTTCTTTAAATGGAGGGTAACTTGAAATCACGCTTACAGTCCATTTAAGAACAAATTGTTAACAGCTATGGTCCCCTTTAATTTTATCTCTCGTCAATAAATAAAGGCACAGGCGTCCTAATTTCCATTTCTATTTTTAAATTGACCTCTCTCCAATTGCTAATTAACCCAACAGAAGAAGAGGTGGGGGGGGGGGGGGGGGGGGGCTGTTGATGAACTTTTATCAAACTATAGAATCTAACTCATGAACAGTTCAAAAAGTCGTTGTGTCTACCGATGTATATCATTTCCATCAGTAAAATTGCAGCTGAACAAAAACTGCTCATCCGCTAAGAGTTCATAAAGGTCGACTTTAATACAGTCATCATCGAAAATATTAATACAATATTGACGACTTTAGATCTAAAATTTTGATTTCTACCACGCTTTCAAACAGCATGAATACACATTGCATATACAATATACATGGAAAAAAAGAAAAGCTGTTAACAAACAGCTCCTCACAAGGTGAAGCTGAAACTGAAACTTATAATAGAAGTAAGCTTGAAGTCGGCATATAAATTTAGTTTGTTGTAAGCCTCGGAATCTGTGAATTTTCAGCTCAAAAATCCGCAAATTAACATCATGATATTAAACATTTTTGAGATCAGGATTAACAAGATCCAGTTAACAACTGACTATTGATACAGCTATAAGTACTAAAACATTAAATGCTTTTTACAATAAATAACATTAAAACCTTTTTTCTTGGTTTCAGCATTGCGCTTTAGATGTATATAAAAACGGTCTTACAATTTGGAATGAGATCATTTCACACCGCACTGTTCTCAGAGAATGTAATGTTAACAATTTGAACCTGTTGAGAACAAATATGAAGATTCTCATTTTTTAATCTGTACTTTTAAATACTTTGTTATAAAACCGGTTATTCAGTGATAAAGAACAATTGATAAATAAAAACCGGTTTTAACTAACGCTTCACTGGAGAATTCCCACTTTTTAACATTTTCATTTTTCCACTTTTTAACATTTTGATTTTTCGCAGTTCATTCAAAGAAACTTTGTTAAAAAAAATGGAGAGACAATTAAAAATTGAAAAGTATTGTTTTCTTTTACTTTGGAACTTGGAAGTAGATCTGTAATGTAAGTGGAACTGTAAGCATAGTTATAAGTGACCATTCCTTCAAAGATGACAATGCCCGATTTAAACAATACCAAGCACTTTCGCAGTACTTTCGCAGAGTATACACAAATGAAAATAAACAGTTTAAAGAAACCAAAACATCTATATCTAATATATTTTTAAAAGACGAAGATTTTGAGGGTAACGTTGTAAATCGGACAATTTCATCTTTGCATGGAGGGTTACTTGAAATTATGCTTACAGTCCCTTTTAGTGAGATTACTCTGACAGAGAATTGACTGATGCAGGAACACTGGTACTATCTGGAGAACTTATAGTGTTGGGTCCTTCATCCGTCCTTCTATACTCGTCTCTTCCTTGCTCCTGTCGTCGGTAATCGTCCCTTCTTTCGTCCTGACGCCTGTACTCGTCTCGTCCTTCTTCATGTCGTCTATACTCGTTTTGATCCTCGTCCTGTCTCTTATAATCGTCTCGGCCCTCCATCCTCTTAGCCTCGTCTCTTCTCCCGTAATCGTCCTGTTCGTCCGTTCTCTCATATGGGTTTGGCAGACCAGTGGGTAGCGGTCTCAATTTAGAGCTAAACATATATTTAACAAATTAGTAACAAAATATCCCAACCTTGCAAAATTCTAAAAATGTATATTAGACGTAAAATTTGTTTCTAAGGGACAAATACAAGATAACGTTTGTTCCCAAATCTGCAAAATTCTAAAAATGTAAATTAGAAGTTAAATTTGTTTCTAATGGACAAATACAAGATAACGTTTGTTCCCAAACCTACAGGGTGCTACGTTGAATATGGGAATTCAAAGACGACATCAGACGTCTAAGTTATCTATAAAAGACAAAAAGAGTATAGAACTATGTCATATAAGCTTATCAAAAGCGGTATTAGCTTCATTAATTCATAAAAATTGACCACTATATTTTATCTTACAACAATTAGGATTTATTTCATGAATAAAAACTGTGCATGTGAAAGCTTCTAAAAGTCTCAATCAATTTTGAAGAACCTCAAGACCGAGGGTTTTCGTTGGTAATTGTTTTAACTGCATATAACATAAAAAAAATTTGTTCACAAAAAACTGTCTCGTCTATGAAGAACGATAAAAATCGTTACTTAAATCCCATTCTTTGAAATATAATAGCAGTTTACGGGCTCAGACTTCAGATCGATTTTGGACTTTTTTGGAAAGCCAAATGTTATCCTTCTTAATTGAAAAACTTTTTCTGATAGCCCCAAAACAACAATTAAATTTTTTTTTTAAATTCAACAAATTTCAGGTCATACTTCATTTTCTTGGATATTCTCTGCTGAATTCAGATTAGAATTTTTTTTAAATATTATGAATTCAATCTTTTATTTAATATTTTCAAACTTTTGGTAGGTTTTCGTGCTCAATTTCATTCAATAATAATTAAAATATTTTTAAAGATGGTTTTCAAATTTGAATTCAGTATAAGCTTTCAAAAAATGTGGTTTAACATGAAAAAAAAATCGTAGTCATTTTTTAATTTAGCTTTTTGAACTATAGAGCAAAAGTTTTTCAACTTAAAAGTCTGTTTGGAATAATGCCTATTTAATATGATCGACCTCTGGAAGCCGGTTACCTAATTTTTAAAATGAGATTACAAATCGATCACCACTACTCCGGTGGGCAGAATATCAGGAAAATAATTATATTTTATACCGCTCAAGGTACTAATGCAAGGAAAGTTATTTCAGAGGGGTACGCATCTTTTGTACTGCAGTGTACTGTCTTTGGGCGGTAATGTAAACACAAGACGGAAGTTGAACCTGACATGGGATTTATCTTTCATATAAAAAAATCAATGACATATTCTGGTCATTGGAAACTATTATGTGAATTATCAAAATTATCAAAATCAAACACTTTTAACCTACACGGATACTAAACGAACACTGATCAATTTATTCTTGTTCACAAATTCCGCCCAGAGAGAACTGGTTTCAACATGTACGCAGAGTATACGCGACCACAGTTGACTTTCCTTGCATAAGTACCTTGATACCGCTNTAAGTAAAAGTAATTATGTTTCAAGAAATGCAACCTCAAGAGTTTTCTCTAAAGATTTATTTTTCTCTAATATTTTGCAAATGTCAAAATAAGAGATAATTAGGAAAATTCTTAAAAAAGTTTAATTAATTTTATGTACTTTTGTTGAAGTTGAATTAAATAAACTGAGGGGTAAATATTTTCAAAGATTTGTTCTCCCAGAAAAAGTTCCCCCCAACAGACATTTGTCCACATATAAAAAAAAAAACAATAATTATAGAAGGTTGGGGGTAGGAGGGGGGGGGGGTGCCCTTGAAAAGTAATACTGCGCATAAATTATCATTTTAACAACGTTTTTTTTGTTTAAAATTCTAATAATTTCCAATCTCAAGGTCTTTCATTTCTCTTATTATAAAAATTACGTTCTTGATTCTTTTTTTACAAAAGCTTCAAGCGAATTTTTTGTGAATCACTAGATATATGTCCAAGTAAAAAAGTGGAGTTTGAATAGAAAATGGCAAAAAAATAGCAAAAAATTTTTTGATTTACATTTTGTACAATTTTAGCTTTAAGGATAACGAAGTTAATAACAACTCAATTTATTTTTAGAGAATATTTTTATAATAAACTTTAAATAATTATAGCGTATCTTCGCATTCATTTTTTCTATATTTAATTTAATCTTCAGTATCCAAGTTAAATCTTGGAAAATAGTTCCAAGTTCAAAGTATGCTGTTAATCAGGTACAGGGTGTTCCGGCTTAATATAAACTATATAGACAGTTGAGGAACGGAATGATTGCATAAAAAATGTTGTGGCCTCATGACTAATGAGATTTCCAAAATGTTGTGCTTTTCTGGTATCTCAAAAAAAGATGTAATTGATTAAAGTTTAAAATTCTTGGTTATAAATAAATAAATAAGGTAGACCACATTTTGAAAATACCAACTTTAGGAATTTTCGATTTTAGTGGATTTATTTAATTACTGTGTTGAACAAAAAGTCCCATTAAAGATATTGCAGAATAAAGGCTATTTAAAGTCATTCATCAATTCCAATATTGTTTGGGTAACCCTGCAGTTGATTCAATTGGTAAAAAAATATTTCGAAATTTGCACCGAGTGTTAAATTTATATATATAATTAAGAATTGAGAATTTTCATGACGTAAAAATCTCAAATTTTGGCCACACCCTAACACTTGTTCATCAGGGAAGTAAAGAGTCGTTTAAGAACATTTAAATTTTTCCACCATAAGTATATAGTACATGGAACACTTTTTTAAGTTCATCAAGCCCTACCTGACATTTTGATGCTTTGTGACTTGGCTGAACTTACAGGCCTGATAGGATTTCCCCCGGCCCGGGTCCTCCTGCATCCAGCCGAGGCCTGCACCGCCCCCTCCAGCCTGCTTACCATCAGACAAACCGGTTCTGGGCAAATCTTGGCGGGAAATACCAGGAAATGCGGCAATTTCCTTAAAATTCAAATCTATCATCTATCATATGTATTTCTCTGGTAAGATTATTAAAAACATACTGGCACTGCAGAGATTAAACCCCTCCCTCCCGCCCCATCCATTTTTAAACAAATAAATGTCTATTACTACAGGGTACTAAGCGAATATATTTTTTGTTAGAAAATGTTTCTAAAATACATGGAAAAAAATGTACCTGTCTATAACTTCCCACTCTAGGACTTTGATTATTTCCCCCCTGGAATTGGTGGTTGCCCCCTTGGAATTGATGATTGACGCCTTGAAACTGATGGTTTGCCCCTTGGAACTCTTGTCTCTGGTTGCCCTGGTTCCCTTGGTTTCCCTGAACCCTGAGTATCTTCATTAACTCCTCCAACTCCACCATCAAGTCCTTCCTGGTCTCCTAGATCAAGATGTGCTTGGTAAAAGGAGGATATGTTTTTGAAAAAAATTTTTTTAACTTGTTTAGCCTATGTTACCCCTCGGGTTCAGGGGACTATATCCTTACTAGAAGTTAAATGTTTCCCCCCTCCCTGTCATTATTGTCCAAAAGGTAAAATTTAGAAGTAGTTTTCTCTGTTTGTCCGATCAAAACTCATGAACCCCCCTGACCGATTTGCCTAGAATGTTGACGGGGGAACCATGGGAATGTTCTTAGCTTGGTTTAAAAAATCTAAGTTCAAAGGGTTGACTTTTATAACGAAAGTTTAGTTTACAGACACAACTGAGTTCCCAAGCTAGTTTATTATATCGCTCATTTCTTTGGATTTTCATTCTGCATTCAGAAAGTACATAAATCATTAATATGTATGGATTAAAACGATTAAATATTAACCAAAAACATATTTGAAGAGTGCAACTGAGTTCCTAGGCTAGTTCATATATATGTATGGATTAAAACGATTAAATATTTACCAAAAACATATTTGAAGAGTGCAATTAACCTTGTGACAACTGCACCCTTAATAAAGCGGTCTTTGAAATTGTCAGAGATTTATACTTTTCAGGCGTAAAAAGTACATAACCTAGCGTCATCACAAATAATAAAACCATTGAGTATGTTTTTGGAACTCCTTTGAATGTTAAAAATCCCTTTAAAGTTAAACTTTTATATTTTAACCATAAACAATGAAACTGTAATGTTTACCTGTAGATCGGATAGTCTAGTTTCTAGTTCAAGTCTACGTTGTCGCAAAACCTCTAGTTCAGTTACAACATTCGGATCCTTCTCCATATCCTTAACATTAACATTTGGATCCTTCTCCATATCCTTAACATTAACATTCGGATCCTTCTCCATATCCTTAACATTAACATTTGGATCCTTCTCCATATCCTTAACATTAACATGTTCTTTTAAATCTATTTTAATATCTATTCATGATTCAACTCAGTAGATACCTGTACTAAATTGTACAATATCTTGCTGTACCTATACTATACTGAACTGTACAATATCTAGCTGTATCTTCATCTGTAGCTGTACTGAACTGTACAATATCTGGCTCATAGCTGTACCAATACTGAATTGAACTGTACGCACAATATCTAGCTCATATCTGTACCTATACTGTATTGAACTGTACAATATCTAGCTGTACCTATAATGTGCTGAACTATACAATATTTAGCTGTACCTATACTGTACAGAACTGTCCATTATCTAACTGTACCTATACTGTGCTGAACTGAAAACTGTCTGTACATCATCTAACTGTACCTGTACTGTACAATATCTAGCTGTACCTATATTGTACTGAAGTGTACAATATCTATCTGTTTCTATGCTGTACTGAACTGTACAATATCTATCTGTACCTTTACTGAGCTTTACACTTTAAAACTGAAACTTTACTGTGCTGAACTGAAAACTATCTGTAGTGTATATTATCTAACTGTACCTATACAGAACTGAAAACTATCTGTATATTTGTACATTATCTAACTGTACCTATACAGAACTGAAAACTATCTGTAGTGTACATTATCTAACTTTACCTATACAGAACTGAAAACTTTCTGTAGTGTACATTATCTAACTGTACCTATACAGAACTGAAAACTATCTGTAGTGTACAGTATCTAACTGTACCCATACAGAACTGAAAACTATCTGTACATTATCTAACTGTACCTGTACAGAACTGAAAACTATCTGTACATTATCTAACTGTACCTATACAGAACTGAAAACTATCTGTAGTGTACATTATCTAAATGTAACTATACAGAACTGAAAACTATCTGTAGTGTACATTATCTAACTGTACCTATACAGAACTGAACGATAACCAATTGTAGCTATACTGAGCATTTTCCAGTTATTATTATTATTATATATTATAAAATTATCGTTAAAGATACCAATGTGGAATCCCCAGACCGCCATCATGGTAACAGTAGTACCTGTACAGAAGCCCTATTTTGTCGGAGTCTTGCAATTTCATTCATTATCTCCGCATTCTTCTTTTCCAGTTCATAAACAAGTCTCCGAGAGTCCTTAATTAAATTTTGATAGAACAGACATAAAATAGGGACCTGTGGCCGAATCTAAAGAATTTGAGCGGCGGTTTAAATTTAAGTCGCGGCTTAAATATGGTTGGTTCCACTTAAAATTGTATCAAATGTTTCAAGATTTAAGCCGGCGCTAAATTTAAACCGGGTTTTGGCGGATTTAAACCGCGGCTAAAATTCTTTAAATTCCATCTCAGGTGTTATAAATAAAAAAATTTAATTCATTTAATTAGAATCAGAGAAGTAATGTAGTGCTTAACTCTGGAACCTTATTATCACATTTTAATCACAGCTAAAAAGGACACACGGGAAACTACCAAAAACTACGTATGTCCAGACTGTAACGAATTAAACTCGCGGTCGCAGGAAGCGTAATGAACAATGTTTTAAAAAGCAAAATTTTTTGGGTAAAAAAAAAGTTTGCAAGTAAAAGCTAACTGACACATAATCTTGGCTTTCTGCGTACAGTTACAAATGAGTCCAAATGAGTGTTAATAATTACACCTTACAGTTAAAATAGTTCCCAACCTAGATCAGGAATTTTCCCAATCTATGTCTTGTAATCTGTGTTCTAAAAACAGACTAAATCATCTTTGACAGTTTATTTACAGAGGGAGAAAGGATTGCCTTTTTACTTACATCGGTATATAAAACACATCCCCCAAGTATAACAATATTATAAAATGTTAAATTATGTTAAAGCTTTTGTATGAAAAGTCTAAATACGTCAAACAGAGAAAATTACATTAATAAAATATAAGTAAGCTTTAAAATTCTGATTAATCAAACTAAAATATTTGAACAATATCTCCATTTGGTAAAAGTCTCCTGTTATATAAAAAAAAACAAATTATGCGAAATCAAATCTTTTTACTTTCGCAGACTCAAAACTTTAATGTTTGTTTATAAACTGAAAAACTATGAAATGAATAGTCAAATTAGAAGGAAAATGGCAGAAAGAAAAGGATTTAAAATGTCGAAAATTGCATCCAAAAATATTTGGTCCAACACATTTTTCCTTTCAGAATATGTCAAATAATATTAAAATATTTTGTCAGATTTGCAAACGTAAAAATAGAACATGTTGGATTGAAAAGAAGTTTTGATGGTAGAAATGAATTCCAACTGTATCAAAAATGAAAATATCATTATATTAATAATAATGATTATAATAATTATAATAATAATAACATTAAAAAATATAATAATAATATAAAGAGAATTATAAATAATTATATTTAGAAAGATAAAAATTAATGTTTTAGATATGTTACCAACAAACTCTTCTTTTTCTCCATATCTCTTGAAAAGTTAATTGTCTTTTATATTAACAACAAGAATTGGGCGAATAATTTTACAATAAAATATATACCCTTCTACCAAACATATTTGTTTCCATTCCTCTAAACTATTCAACAAATGGTAAACTTGTTGCTAAGGCTTTGAATGAAAATGTAATAAATCTAATTACTCGAGTTACTGGCCCGGTTACCAACCCGGCAACATCATATCAGAAATTCATCTTTCAAGTTTGAATGGAAATTTGAAAATTCAAGGTTTGTCTAAATCAAGTTTAGCTTTAACTTAGTCAACAAAATAAACACAATATTCAAATTTTCTTGCTGAGTACACACTACACGTAATTAGTGCTTTTAGTTGGTTAATTCTAATTTTAAACTATTTCATTTTTATTGCACTTAAACAAATGTTGAACCTAACCGAAGATAAAGGCAAAAAGACCACCCAAAACGATTGTTTTTCCAGGTTTTTAATTTTTATTCGGAAAAAGGAAGTTTTATAATTTTTTTCTACTATCCCTAACGAATAACAACACTACACGAAATTTTGAATGAGAAAAAATAAATTCTTTAGTTACTATGTTTTATATATAGACAGAAATTTTCCGAAACTGGAGGCTTCTGACAAAGAAAAAGATGTAGGATTCTGGATTAATCATTCAGGAGGATTTGAAACCAACAGAACAGTGTGCTCCTGCTGCAGCTAAGGCTAACACCATAATAGGCCAGATGGAATAAGTACAGAAAAGAGCTAATTCCATGACTTCTAGACTCTCAGGAACTACATATGAAGATAAACTGAGAGAGGTTGGACTAATCACTAACTTTTTCAATTCAAATTATTCTAAAATTATCTTAATGGGGCCCAAAACTCATAAACCAAATTAGAGAAAGAATTTTAATAATACATAAAATAAATACTAACAACGCAGCAAATGAATTTTAAATTTTATTTTGTCTCTACCCCCCCCCCCCCAAGTCCCTCTCCTAGATACTATGAAGATACAAACCTTTTCCGGGTTCCGTCGGATTACAAATCCTTGATCCTCCTCCGGACTAGAGTTAGGTCTCATCCCTGCTCCTAGGCCAGGTCCTGATACAACATAAATCAAGATTTTATTAATTTCTTACGTCAATCTATTTCATAAAGCTACATGTTACCCTGGGTACCCTGGGGGTAATATAGGCTAAAAAAAATCGATTTCGATTTTTTTTTCTAATTCCACGGGCAACGCCGGGCACTTCAGCTAGTTTATTATAATATTCAGGTCGGAGAAAAGTGAAACATTAAGAAAGCAATGATTTTAAGCAATATTTAAACGTGGTTCTCACAGATAATTCTTATTTCTGTAAATTTTAAAGATAATTACACAGATAATGATGAAACTTCTATAAATAATAATTACTATCAAATGATATATTAAAGAATTATTATGCTGATAAAAAACTTAACCAGTGCACAGTGCAGTTCTAAGGCAGTAATGAATATTAGAAAAGAATAGATTATTGCATTTAGAAAAGGATAGTGGAAGGTTTTAACTAAAGAAAGACAGATAAGATTATCACACTGATAATAATAATACCTGTGGCAAGGCCTAAGTATTGAAGACTAGAAGGGTCCGCAAGATGATTTGCATAACATGCAATGAGTTCATGTTCATCTGTTTTACCTCTGCAAAATATTAATAAGTTAAGAAAAAAATTATTTAAGGGAATCTAACTGATGCTTGTAGCCAGTGTCCGAATTTAATGAATTTGAGCCGCGTCTTAAATCCGCCAAAAACCGGTTTCAATTGAGCGTCGGCTTAAATCTTGAAACATTGAATACAATTAAGTGAAACCAACCATATTTGAGCAGCGGCTTAAATTTAAGCCGCCGCTGAAATTCTTTAAATTCGGCCTCAAAACATTTTTGAAGGCCGAATGCTTTGGCAAAACAATTGTCGTAAAAACCAGGATATAAATTAATTTTAGACTTTAGTTTTCTTATTTAATATTGAACCAGCAATACGACACTACATCCCAATTAAACCATTTTAACACAATGTTAGACATTTTTTAAACATTCAAAGATTTTAAAATATTAAAATAAAATGCCTGTACTGTCCCGCCTATAATGTACTGTGCTGTACCTGTGACTAGATTTATTCCGGTCAGCGGAGCTGAGCCGGGCCTGGGGTAGGGTAGCAAACTGGTTTCCAGCAGAAAACTGGATCCCAGGGGGAAACTGATTAGAGAGGGGAATACCGGGATACTCGGGCCCATGATTAGATGGGGGCACACCAGGATTCCCAGGCCCAGCATAGCGTCGGGAGGGCTGGGGGGAGGGGGAGGAACCATGTAATCTAAATTAATAATAAAGTGAAAACATATATTTCATGAATTTAACAATAGAATTATGCATGTGTATTATAAAGAAACCCTTCTTACCGAGTAATCGTTAGTTTATCAAGTCCTGACATCGCCGTGTTTAACCGCCGACCCTGGTCCCCGCCGTATCCATTATGAGCCTGGTTGAAGCCGTTGTGTGAGGGTAGGGGAGAGGCGGGTACGATGTTGCTGAGGTCCAGGGTAGGTTCAGGCTTCTCGGGGAACCGAGGAATACGCTGCGGATTGGCAGGGCCTTGAGGTACGCAGCGAATAGATCTTCGCAGCCCTATTAAAATAATATAAACGTGATCAATCTTAATTTTGATCAAATCAATTTTTCAAATTGTAGCAAACTCTTTTATCTCGATATTTTACAACTGTAAAAGTTTAATATTTTTATAAATTCGGGCCCAGTGACGGCCTAGTGACATATGTGTCAAAACATAATAAACTCAATAAATCAAAAAATAAATAAAATATAAAAGTAATTTTGAACAAAAACCATTAAAATTAAGATAACACGCCGGGAGGTGAGGGAAAACAATTTTCGAAGACTTGGGGGAATAGTTATATTACAAATAGACCTTTTCTGTAAGTTTTCACCAAACATTTAGTTTTATTTACCAACATCTGAGTATTTAATAGGTCTGTGAAACTAGAAACTAGACAAAATGAGAAGGTAAAATTTATTGGATATCACTGATAAGACTTTGGGACCTCGTAGCTCCTCTAGATTTGATTTTACGCTTTGAACTATTTAAAACTATAACTTGAGACAAAAATTGTCTTCCTACGCCACAGTTTTATAAGTCCCAATAAATATGAAATTCAAGTTAACCTGCAGGTTTGCCCGGTGTTTTCCAAGCACTGTATTCCTTAAACACATCATCCTTGTGTTCTGAATCCATCTCACCACGCCAGAAACACAGCTGACACAGGTGGTAGTTTGCACTGAACAGATACAAATACAATATTAATGAAAATATCTGTTAAGAGCGGTAAAAAGAATTAAATAACAAAATTATTTTCAAAATCACACTTTCTTTATATTTAAAATACCACTAACTAGCCTAAAATTAAAAATTTTGCGACATATCAATTTAATCCTTCGAACACAGATGATGCTATCCTGTTTGAATTGCCGTCGTTTAAACTATTGTTCATTTGAACTATTGTTCGTTTGAACTACTGCACGTGGTACTACGTGAGTAGTTCAAACAACCAATACCTTATTATTAGTTTAAAGCTGACATTTCTTGTTTTAGTAACTAGTTTAAGCCATTTATATTAAGTATATATGGTGCAGTTTTGTTTAACTTGGATTGGATTTAAAAATATATTTGCTTGAAAAAGATAACTTTGAAGATTTGGCCCATTTTTAGCACTCAGTGTTAGAAATGGGCCAAGTGTTAGTTTTGCAACTAATTTAACCTGAATTGTTCAAATAAGCAAGTAATGTGTTGATTTGAACTACAGGATATGACGTCATGTCAGTAGTTCAAATGAACAATTGTTCAAACGAACAATAGTTCAAACGAACAATAGTTCAAACGAACAAAATTTCTAACGAACAATAGTTCAAACGAACAATAGTTCAAACGAAAAATAGTTCAAACGAACAATAGTTCAAACAAACAATAGTTTAAACGAACAATAGTTTAAACGAACAATAGTTCAAACGAACAATAGTTCAAACGAACTAAAGTTCAAACGAACTAAAGTTCAAACGAACTAAAGTTCAAACGAACTAAAGTTCAAACGAACTAAAGTTCAAACGAACTAAAGTTCAAACGAACAATAGTTCAAACGAACAATAGTTTAAACGAACAAAAGTTCAAACGAACAATAGTTTCAACGAACAAAAGTTAAAAAGAACAATAGTTCAAACGAACAATAGTTCAAACGGCCTGGAAGGGGTGGTTGTATTTTTTTAAAAAGAGGAGGGGGTGGTGGTTGTTTTTTCTTTTATTAAGAGAGAGAGGAAGAGTTGTTCACGGCACAGTTTACAAGAAATCACCAATAGAAAACAAGGGGGGGGGGGGACAAACCTGTCTGATTTGTATCTGAGCCCCTGGAACCCCTCTCTCCTGCATCCTGAACACTCAACAGGATGGAAGTTCGACTCCGAGCCAGATATCCTGAACAGTGAACATACATTTTAATTAATTTCATCATTTAAGTAAAATCTACCGTATTGAACTGGTTTCTTACCCCCCCCCCCCGCCTCCAACATTTCTAAATTCTTAAAGTTTGAGAATTTCCATAAAAACTAATCCTCTCCCACACTCACACGAGGGGAGGAAGGCCAACCACAACAGTTTCTGAAATCCTCCCAGGTAAAACTATTTTTACAGAATCGAGCCATGTTAGGGCATAAATGAAATATTGAAGTTTTGTAAATCAAAAAAAAAAAACGTTAAATTGAATTAAAATTTTCAAGTTTAATGCCTTTAAAAATGTTCTCCTTTTTTACACGCATTTTCAGATATGCCGCAAATAATTCTGAGTTTATAGAACTTCAATATTTTTTGATAATTATAGTGAAAACCAAAGAATTTTTCCGGGTGGTTCCATTGGGAAAATGATATATGAAGATTCCAACATGATTTAATCGTTGCAATACTTTAATCCATCAATATTTCATGCCCTAACGTGGCCAGATTAAAAAAAGTTTAACTTCGAGAATTATAAACTTTAACACATAATAATCGAAGGACGAGGATTTCGAAGTGGCTCAGACGAGAAAATGAGGCTCGGAAGAGAAATTGTTGTGGCTGGCCTTCCTCCCCTCCTCACACCCACCTCATACTTTTAACTTAATCATTTACTTTTGAAATGTTTGTAAAAATACCAAAAAATAAAGTCTGTAAATTTCAGGGAAGAAAGTTGCAAACCGTGAATTGGCCCAGACCTGACACTGAGTTGGTTTATGTTCCTAAACGGGTCCAATCAATTTGTGATATGTGTGAAAATGGAAAACCTTGAATTGTTTCGAAAATAGTATGGATTTCAATTAAAAATCAACGATCACTCTTAGTTTTAATTTTAGAAAAGAAATAATTAGTGTTATTCTCGTTTTGCTTAATAATATGTTGGGAATAGTTTCCTTAATTGATATTTACACTCGGCACAAGAAGAGTTACTAAAACGTAGATCATAATATTTACATTAGCACGGTTTGGAACTTTCTTCCCCTGAAATTAAAGTTTCATTTTCCATCATCCATGTTCTGTAGTTTACGCCAAAAACAATAAGAAGAGAAATTCTTGTATTTCGTTATTATAAACTGAGCAAGGGAATAAAGACTAAAATAACTTTAATTCGTTTTACAAAAACAGGAATTATTTAAGTTGAAGAGACAAAATATTTGAATAAATATATTTTGTTATACAAAAAGAATAAAATTCTGGATATCGAATAAAAATTCAAATATCCGTGGAGTGCAAAAATTCAGTATTTTAATATTTATTCCTGGAAAGAGAAACTAGGGTATAAATCAAACTTTAAATATATATAAAAAGGAGAATTGACAGTTTTGCAAATAGATAAATCATTATTTTAGTTTTTATTCAAGTTTATATATTTGGAAAACTATAAGGTTCTGTAGATCAAATAAAATATAAAGTACTATAGGTAGCAACAGAGAAATGGACCAAGTATACATTACGTCACAAGTGTCATATATATCAAGGAAAACTATATTGTTTTCACATTGGTTGACATGTTTAATAAAAAACTGTAAAAACAGAAAATAAAGAACACATAAAATTGCCCTTATTTAACTGCAAGATAAGCACTTTATTCGAAAATAAAGAACACGTAAAATTGCCCTTATTTAACTGCAAGATAAGCACTTTATTCGAAATAAAGAACACATAAAATTGCCCTTATTTAACTGCAAGATAAGCACTTTATTCGAAAATAAAGAACACATAAAATTGCCCTTATTTATCTGCTAGATAAGCACTTTATTCGAAAATTTTCACTATTATAAATACTTTTGTCGGACACAAAACTGAATTGACACTTGTGACGTCAGGTCTACATTTCTTTAAGCATGCTTACAAACACTACTTTTTAATGCATAATTTTATTTGTTTTTATTTAGTACAAAGGAATATACACCAGAAACCCCAATTACTTCTTGGAATTAATGTAAACTTGAAGACTGATTGCTACCTGTGAAGAACAATTAGCCAGGAAACACAGTGAGGGCCAGGATCAGACATCATTGTCTCAAGGAAATCATTGACTGTCACCTTCACAATAATATTGGTGAATTCATTGTAAATATATATAAATTCAAAATCTTCAAAAATTTATAGCAATTTGTCTAAATTCCTTGCTATACGCCAAAATTCATTGCAACCTGCCCAAATTCATTGCAATCTGGTTGATTTCCTTGCAATCTGACTAGATTCCTAACAGTCTCCCTAGATTCCTGCCAAAATTTCTAACAATCTGCCTAAATTCCTAGAAATCTGCCTAAATTCCTAGCAATCTGTCTAGATTCCTAGCAATCTTCATAAATTCCTAGCAATGTTCCTAAAGGGATTAAGTATTTGCTTGCCATAAACTGATTTTTTTATTCCTTTAATCATTTGAACCCACTAAACCGGTTCTTGTTGTTAGTGTTCTAACCTTTGAATCTGGTGGGAAGATAATTTCTGAAGTAGACTGAGTAAGGGAAAACGTTCTTCCTTCTCCAACAGCTGCTGGCAGCTTGGAGATCTCACCAATAAATTGGGTAAACCTGAAAAAGAGAAATCAATCAAGCAATCAAGCACTCAGGCAGGCAATCAATCAATCAATTCATGAATTCTAATAATCGATGAAGAAAAGAAAAACAACTGATTCATCTCATTTTTAAAAAGCTACTGTTTAACAAGGGTACCCGGCAAGTTACATATTGTCTGAGGTAGCCAATTTTTTTTTGTCGTATTTTTAGAAATTAGAATAATTGTAAAACTATCTGTATTAGGACATTGTACACTTAAAAGAAATCCGCCTTGCTGACACTAGCGGTCCATTAGAATCTGTCAGTTTAATACCTTGCTGACACCAACTATCCATTAGAATCTGCTAGTTTATTACCTCGCTGACACTAACTGTCCATTAGAATCTGACAGTTTATTACCTTGCTGACACTAACTGTCCAGCATCTGTTTGTTTCTTACCTTGCTGAACTTAATTACCATGCTGGCAATTGTTGTCTATTAGAATATGTTGCACTGGTTGTTCATTAGAATCTGTCCATTTAATACCTATCTGGCTATTGTTGTCTATTAGAATCCGTCAGTTTATTACCTTGCTGACACTATCTATCTATCCATTAAAATCTATCAGTTTATTACCTAGCTGGCACTATCTGTACATTAGAATTTGCCAGTTTATTACCTAGCTGGCACTAACTGTCCATTAGAATCTGACAGTTTATTACCTAGCTGGCACTAACTGTCCATTAGAATCTGACAGTTTATTACCTTGCTGGCACTAACTATCCATTAGAATCTCACAGTTTATTACCTTGCTGGCACTAGTTATCAATTAGAATCCATCAGTTTATTACCTTGCTAACACTATCTATCTATCCATTAGAATCTATCAGTTTATTACCTTGCTGACACTATCTATCTATCCATTAAAATCTATCAGTTTATTACCCTGCTGGCACTAGTTGTCCATTAGAATCTGTAAGTTGTGAAAAGAGATAACGAAGTTTGTCCATTAGTTTACCACAGCAAAGGACAGCAAGGCATATTTTCACCGAGAACACCTTAACAACAAAATTGGATTACTATGTATTTTAAAAACTAGTTTGCCTTTACGTTTTATAACACCCATTCAGAGAGCCCTATACAAACAATTATTACACAACGATTTAACAGGTTTTCAAAAATAATAATTTGAGAAGTATTATTTCAGTGTCTTGAAATTTTATTTCTCAAAAATTTTAAAAATGCAAAATTATCTTTCTGATATAAATAACAAAATACAATTGCCTCCAGCACTTTTCAATAAAAAAGTTAACCAATAAAATCATATAAAAAGTAACAAGAAGCTCTCTCTCCTGACACTCACAATATACAATATACAAAAAACAATTATACAAGAAAAACTTGATAAACTTTGGGATTTGGTAATAGTTAGGGGGGATGGAGTTAAAGGCAGCCAATGATCGCGGTGGGAGGGAGGGGGGGGGGGGTATGGAGAGATAATTTGTAGAAAGAATATAAGAAGAGTGGTATCATAGAATTTTGTTGTTGGTAAGGAACATAAAGAATAATACAAGGCCCTTTCTTAGTAATGGTTTGAATAGTTAGTAGGTAGAAGATAAGGTTCAATTCAAAATTAGTAGCAAATATCATCTTTAAAATTCTTGTAGTAACAGTACCTTGAGTCTATTTGTCTGATCAGAGCATAAAGAAAAGAGAAGCCATGTTGCAATCAGTGAACAAGTCTAAATAAATAAATTAGAAAATCTTTTAAAAATACCGAATTCAGATTTGGTGTGTATTTCCATAATAGAGGATTATTTCGAAAACTGATGAGTTAGTTTCAAGATGGTAGGTTGGTTCCAAATTTTGGATTAGTTCCAAAATAGTGGATCAGTTTCAAACTAGTGGATTAGTTTAAAAAAAAATGGACTAATTTCAAAATTGTGGATTTGTTCCAAAATCTTTTTAATTAGACTCAAAATAGCGGACTAGATTTAAAATGGTGGATCAATTTAAAATGGTGGATCAGTTTCAAAATCATGGATTAGTTTTAAAATGGTGGATTGGTTCCGAAATCATGGATTAGTTTCAAATTATGGATTAGTTTTAATATCGTAGATTAGTTTTAAAATCCTGGATTAGTTTTGAAATGGTGAAATTGTTACAAACTCATGATATGGTTCCAAATCATGGATTAGTTTCAGAATGGTGGATTGGTTCCAAATCTAGGGTTGGTTTTCAAATGGTGGATTATGTTTCAAAATGGTGGATAGGTCTCAAAATAGTGAATTAGTTTTTAAAATGGTGGAATGGTTCCAAAATAGTGGTTTAATTTGAGAATGGTTGATTGGTTCCAGAATGGCGAATAAGTTTAAGAATGGTGGATTGGTTCCAAATCTAGGGTTGGTTTTCAAATGGTGGATTATGTTTCAAAATGGTGGATAGGTCTCAAAATAGTGAATTAGTTTTTAAAATGGTGGAATGGTTCCAAAATAGTGGTTTAATTTGAGAATGGTTGATTGGTTCCAGAATGGCGAATAAGTTTAAGAATGTTGGATTGGTTCCAAAATCTTGGATTAGTTTTAAAATGGCTGGGACTAGTTTTAAAATGGCTGGGACTAGTTTTAAAATGGCTGGGACTAGTTTTAAAATGGCTGGGACTAGTTTTAAAATGGCTGGACTAGTTTTAAAATGGCTAGGTCTAGTTTTAATATGGCTGTGAATAGTTTTAAAATTGCTAGGTCTAGTTTTAAAGGCTGGGACTAGTTCTAAAATAGCTGGGACTAGTTTTAAAATGGCTAGGACTAGTTTTTAAATGGCTGGGACTAGTTTTAAAATGGCTGCGACTAGTTTTAAAATGGCTGGGACTAGTTTTTAAATGGCTGGGACTAGTCTTAAAATGGCTGGGACTAGTGTTAAAATGGCTTAGACTAGTTTCAAAATTTCTGGGACTAGTTTAAAAATGTCGAATAAGTTTCAAAATGCATGAATGACTTGTTTTAAAATCGTGGATTAGTTTCAAAATCATGGACTAATTTCAAACTGGTGGATTTGTTCCAAAACGGTGGTTTTTGTCCAAAATGGCGGCTATTTACCTTCTCAATATTAATATTCTGTCCTGGAGGTAGTCTCTTGTTAAGGTTTGAGTAGAGGCTGGAGAGGAGGGTCTCTAACCTCGCTCTATTCACCAGGGTCCCAGCCTCCATCGTATTTAAACCGTTCTCACGGAAGGCCTGTTTCCACAAGAACATGAGTTTCAGAATTTTCATTACATTTTTTTAGTCAATAATCTCAAACATTGGCAATATCAAAAATAAATAAAGAAAGTCCTACTTTTTTGGCCTTTCCATTAATTAATTTAATGACTTATCTTTTATTTATTACTATTTCTATTTTAAATTAAATTAAAAAATACAATAAGGAATCAAGTGGCGTTAACCAATCTCTCATTAGTCAAAGCGTTGTTTAAAAACAAAACAAACATTTTCATTAAATTGTGTAGATATACAGGGTGTCCCACATCAAATTAGACCGCGTCAATGGGTCTAAATTACGATTTGAGGGACAAATCGGAAAATTAAAGAAGAATGAATCATTTTGAAAAATTTATTAAGGCTAATAGAATTTTTTTGCAGAAAATGCTAGAATTTTCGAGTATTATGTGCGTATTTTGGCGATAAAGATTGGAGATAATATAATATGATATGGGACGCTCTGTATGTCAAATGGATTCGGTGATAAAATTCACATCGACAATTAAAAAGAAAACGATTAACAATTATTATGAATTAAAAAAAAAAGAATTTACAATTGTCCATCCAAGTTCAATGTTCTTTTCCTCGATAATATTCCAGATATCAAGATGGTGAAGATAACCTTTCCTCTGTACAAACCGGATCTTTGCTGCAGTACGGTACGTAGCAAACCTTTAACAACAACATTACATAAATTAGAAATATATTTAAAAATTTAATAAATTAAACAATATTCTATGACCCTAAATAGTAAATATTTTCAGTATGTTTTGGAGGGTCATAGGGGTAAATCTATAGCACAATCTCAATTATTTCAAAATTTGTGCATTTTTGGTTCCCTGAGCGGTGTTAAGGAATCGGATTCAACCATCACAGGAAGTCAAGGGGAAAAAAAGGCAACCGAGGTCGACCTTTTGGGTCTAAAAATAATCTTGAGGTATTGACAATTTAACATCCATTTAGAAAAATTGATTAAAAAAATTTTAAAAATTTTAAAGGTACAAAATGAGTAGACCAAATTTTGAAAATATACAGGATTAAGGGTATAAATGTTTTATTAGTCTGTTGATTTTGATTGTACTATGTTAACAGGTCTATTTCTCTGCTCAAGATAATAAAAAAATCTATAAAATGAAAAATCTGCAAAATTTTGTATTTATTTTTGTTTTATGATGTAGATTCCAACTGGAAACCTAGTAATCTCATATTTATATTTAAATTATAAAAGTGCCCCCACAATCATTTTTATTATTATTATTATTATTGAAAAGTGTCTTCATTTCCATATTCATTGATTTGCATTAAATCATCATAAGACAACCCGTCAATCGTCATTCAATGAAATTGGCCCGGCACTCCAATCCATCTAAGCGTATCCTGATGATTTGATGGATTGGCCCGGCACTCCAATCCATCAAAGCGTATCCTGATGATTTGATGGATTGGCCCGGCACTCCAATCCATCTAAGCGTATCCTGATGATTTGATGGATTGGCCCGGCACTCCAATCCATCTAAGCGTATCCTGATGATTTGATGGATTGGCCCGGCACTCCAATCCATCTAAGCGTATCCTGATGATTTGATGGAT